TATGACAACTGTAAAACAAGATCAAGAGAATCAAATCAATATTCACTGAGACTCTGCTGAACAATATAAGATAGAAGATCTGGTATGATTAAATCTTAAGAATATATGAACTACATGTTCATTCTGTACACTAGATTACCGCCACACCAGGTATAAAGTAATAGAAGTTCTAGGTAGTCACAACTACTGTCTTAATATATTATCAGAAATTCATAATGTATTTCATACAAGCTTGCTTCACTGCATCATCACTGATTCATTCTCTTCTCAACTGACTTCTGACTGACAATCACCAGAGATTATAGAAGAAGATAATGAACTTGAGTAAGAGATTGAAGAAATTCTTAATGAGAGATCATATGTCGGATTGAGTGTCACGGATGAATATGTTGAAGACATATGAATCTTATCTGTATCAAGATCTGCTTGTTATATTATCCGTACACTATCTAATATATCTATTTCATACAAAAGATGGAGCTATTTATAGTAAAATATATGTGCGAGCCAAGAGAGCTAGCATAAGCGAGTATTAGATGAGCGTTGTAGTAAGCTGATAATGATGAGAAATATTGTAGTAATATGATGTTGATGGCGTTCAGTAATACGATGTTGGTGGTGTTCAGTAGTGTATAACCTCTTTTTCCTGACACACCCTCTTCAGCGAATGTAACATGTAAATGAAAATGTAAATGAAGCTGCAACAAAAAGAGTGTAGATGAATCTGTAGAGATTACATCAAGATAGATCATTTAATCTGCTTGCGCCTTGATGATATCTGATATATCAACTAGGCCTAGTATCTTGATGAATTCTGTATGTTTCTGGCATGGCAGAGCCTTAGTGAGGCCATCCGCTGGCATCTGGGCCGTAGGCACCCAATCAACTGTAATATCGCTGGATTGAACATGTTCTCGGAGCCAGCTTCCATATATATCAATGTGGCGGAGCTTTGTGGTTATAGAGGGGTCTTTCTTTGTAAGAATGCCAACAGTTTGATGATTATCACATTGAATACAGATCTTGTGGCCAGGTTCAAATTGGATATGTTGGAAGAACCTATTCCATCAGATAGACTCCTTGCCAGCTCGTGAGATAGCAACAAGCTCAGCTTCTGTGATAGATGTAGTTATGATTGTCTGTCTATTTGATTTCCAATCAACGGCCTCACTGAATAGTTTGAAGATATATCCTTGTGTAGAGCGGCGATCCGGATTATCTGTGAAAGAGGCATTACTGGTGGCTTCAATGATATCAGGTTTGAGATCAAGTTGTAGAGGTCTGCCAATGTTACCATCATATTGGATAGCGAGATTCTTTGTATCACGTAGATAAGATATCATTCTATTCATCTCTGATGAGTGGTGTTCTGATGGATTTGTCATGAATGTAGCTAGTTTACCCACTGCATATGCAATATCAGGGCGAGTCATCACTGCTGAGTAGATGCAGGAGCCGATACATTGTTGATAATGATGGATTTTTGCGGATCTAGCTGGCTCATTAAAAGACTCTAATGAAGCACCAGTTAGTGGGGTATATGCCTTGCGGGCGTGTGTGAGATGATATGTATCAACTATCTTATCAATATAGGCATCCTGGCATAGCCAGAGCTTCAAGTTGGGGCGATCGCGTATTATTCGCATGTTGAGGAACCATTTCAAATCTCTCATCTGTCAGATCTCATAGATGTTTTTAAGATCTTTGATTAGTTGATCTCTTTCTTTTGAATCTTCTTGTCGCAATAGAATGATGATATCATTCACATAGAAGAAGATGATTAATTGATTATTAGAGAAGAGACATTGATTCTCTGACATAGAGGTGAAGCCTAATGTTCTCAATGTTGAAGATAGTTCATTTAACCAGAGAAGGGATGATCTGTGTAATCCATATAGTGCTTGTAGAAGTTTTAGCACATGATTTGTACACTTCAAATTTTGCACCCTCTTCAACTTCCATCATTCATCAGGTAGTTCCACATATACTAGCTCATCAATATCACTATTAATGAAGACATTGATTCTATCTAGCTGTTCTGCATCTAGATCAAATGCTGCTGTTAAAGCTAACAAGATTCGGAGATCTCTGGCAGCTAGTGTGTGGGCTTTTGTAGTGAGATCTGTGGTTGGTTGAAGATCTCCACGTACGCAGATATAAGCTTTGTATTTCAAAAGAAAACCTTCATCATCGAATTTGTAGATGAATACCCATTATAGAGGGATAACTGGGACATCTCTCTGTGATCTGCTAGTAATTTCATATGTATTCTGCAGAGATATACTATCTCATTCTCACTTGACAGTGTTCTCAAATTCTTCACAATGTGAGTGTTTTTCAACATCTGTCCAATGATTCGGTGGATCTGGCATTTGAGATCTATGAATTCTTGAAGTCAATATGAATGCTGTTGATGTAGCTGTATTGTTGATAACTGTGAAAACAGTATTAGGAATTAAATTTTGAGACTTGTTGAAGTCTGTGTGCGAATTTGAATGAGAGAATACATCATTGATCATTCAATAAGGATTGTCTTTGACAATTGAAACTGTCATAAGATGAGCAGCTCTGTGTTTTCAGGTTCTGCAGCCATCAATGATATTTGCTTCATCAAAGTCAGCACTGATATCATGAGCTCTAGGTGCAATGTTCCGTGTTCTATTATCTATCACAGCTGGATGAGTATTAATATCAACATCGGGACCTGTTGGCTCTGGCGTTGAATCTGGTGTAGGAAGGATCAAAACATTATTTTTCTTCCCTATTTTTTCAGAGCTTTGAGCATTTTCTTCAGAACAGAAAATATCAATATCTGCATCTATAATCTCTTCCAATTGATTGATAGTAGTCATCGATGATTCTCGAACTTTCATATGTAGAAGCTTCACCTTCTTAGATACTCAATCTCTTAGTTGTCTTTCGATGTAGAGGTCTTCTGGGTTGAATTTCCTATTCTCATCAAACATCATATCTCTTGCTCTTATCACTCATTCTAAGTGTGGAATCCAAATTTGATAGATGTTTGTTGAATCATATCCAACTAGATATTCAATATGTGCTCGGGGATCTAGCTTCTGAGAGCAGTTCCTATTGAGGACTTCATCTGGTATCTTTGCATAGGTGTGACATCTGTAGATTTGAAGATGAGCACAGGAGTGCAGTTCAATTTGTAGGAATTCTTCCAATGCTCATAGAGATAACTTCCAATCTAGAATTCTAGTTGAGGTTCGATTTGCTAGGTAGGTGACAGCAAGTGCAATCTCAGGGAATAGTGATTGTGACAGAAGAGATTCTATTCATAGAGTTCTTGCCTTTGTTATTAATATTGCTTCTACTCACTCTGCTGCATCATTTTGTTCATGAATATACTCTGAAGAATACTCCATCTCTAGGCCCTCATCATTCACTCAATTTGTGAAATCATCTGCTTCCTTGATTGCAGTATCATTGTTGATACAAATGATCTTTATAGTACAGTTGAATTGACATTTAATTCAATTGATAGCTTATCTAAGAGCTTTTCAGATTTCTGATTTTCGGATAGCTGTTATAGCTATATGGAAATGTAGATAATCACACATGAAATGTATGAGATAACACTCATCATTATAGCACTGTGTAGGGCCATGTGTGATATCCGCATGTAGGTGTTCAAATGATATTTGAGATCTAATGTGGGAACATCTAGATATTTGATTTTTTGCATTAGATAGATGGCAGGGTTCGCAAAGCTCAGTGGTAAGCTCATTCACAGCATCTTCTAGATTGGTGATTTGAACACCAGTTGCATCATTTGCAAGCTTTTGAATGACGATTTTTGATGGATGTTCTAATCTCTTATGCCATGTAGACTGAGTAGCTATAGAGATCTTAGGTTTTTGAGAAGGTTTTGTGTGTTTTGGCAGATTGGAAGAAGGATGATTTGTAGAAGTTGAAGAATTTGAAGATTTCATTTTTTCAGATATAGTGATGTTAGTTGTGTGTGATGTGGTAGCTGCATCAGCTTCAGTAGTGGATTTTTCCAATATAGTTGAGAAAACAGTTATATCACTATATTCTGTAACTAGCAACCCCCCAAATACTTCAACATGTGCAAAGATTGTATTATCTGCGTGTTTTCACAATCTGAAGTCTTTTCCATCATAATAGATGCCTTCTATATGAAAACATGGTTTCCATGCGATGATATTTGTATGGAAATTCGGGATGTAAGCCGCGTTGGTGAGATTGACATTGAACTGCTTTTCTGCTTCATTTATCATGATAGTTCTAACAGTTCCATAACCTTCAACTTTAGTGCTGGAATCGCCTGTATAGACTTCCGCATTCTCATTCGCAGGTGTAAAGGATAGAAAATGTGTTCGATTATTGCATATATGCTGTTCCGCGCCAGTATCAAAGATCCAGGAGTTTCGGAGGTAGGAGCGAGAATGTGAAGAGTTCATTGATATTTTTCGGATTTGCTGATTGATAGATTGATTATCAATAGATAGATGATCGATAGATTGATGATCAATAGATTGATGATCAATAGATTGATGATTGATAGATTGATGATCAATAGATTGATGATCAATAGATTGATGATTGATAGATTGATGATCGATAGATTGAGGAACTGATTGCTTCAGAACCATTCCTCCTATGACTGCTTCATTGGCATCTACCATATCTGTATTTGTGGATGAATCTCTAGATATCGCACGATCAACGCGTCTCTTCAATCCTTGATTTTTAAGAGCTTGATTGATCTGAGTTCTCTTCTCCCCATTTTCCTTCCATTCAGGTGGCTTTCTTGATGGATTGAGATAGTAGCACTGGGTGTATCGGTGACGGGCTCTGCAGATGCAGTTTCTGAATGTTGCTGGTGATGATTGCTGAGATCTTTCATTAAGAGTAGCAAAGTTCATAGGTTTATCTTCTTTGAGAATACCCATTTCCCTATACCATTCCTTGAAGTCCTTAACTAACTCTATCAAAGATATAACATCTTTATCACATCAGACATCCTTAGCCCATGCTTGTGCATAACCTGCATCAATAGCTAGGTTCGCATTTAAGAAATCTTTCTTCAAGTTGAACTGTCCAGCTATATCCGCCTCTTTGATATCATCTTCAATGAGTGATCAGTCATTTAACCACTTCTCTATACCTCTGTTTTTCAGTGCTTTGCAGAGATCATGGTATCGGGTTCTCACATCATCTTGATAGTCCGCAGTCATGGATGAGAGACAATCTCTTAATGAACAGATAATCTCCTTCACATCATCATCCTCACTGTGTACATGTCGTAGCTCTGTGACATCCACTGTTCTCCATATGACATCTCGTATCTTTGTCATACCTTCATTCATTTTTTCATATTTCATATATTTGATTTTCCACGCAGTGACCTTGATGTCATATGCTATCTTGGCCTCCGCGGTGGCTTCTTCTGGACTCTCGGGTTCCAGAGGTTCTTCTAGTTCAGAGAAGATATCAGGTTTATCAAGATTGATGAAGTCTGATATCTTCTTGTCCTTTGCATATCCTAGCATATGCTTGTACCAAAGTTTCCAATCTCCAGGAACACTAAGGTGTACTGTCGCACTAGACATTATCTTGTCTGTCATATCAGTTATATTGAATGGATTGAGGAATCGGTTCAAGTATTTGAGAATAGATATGATCAGAATTCAGGGTGTATATCAGTCGAGTATTTCAGAATGTATACAAGTGAGAATCTATCATCTCAGTTTGAATGATAGTTATCAGTTCAAATGAGGATTGGGATCAGTGTATCACGCTTCTCTTCAGATGCTGCTTACTGGGAATTGGGTATGACAGTCGAGTAGATTGGACCATATACAAATGAGGATCAATTGTCTCAGTTCAAATGATAGTTATCAGTTCAAATGAGGATTGGGATCGGTGTATCACACTTCTCTTCAGATGCTGCTTACTGGGCTCATAACTGTCGGATTGGGTGTCACAGATGAATATGTTGAAGACATATAAATCTTATCTGTATCAAGATCTGCTTGTTATATTATCTGTACACTATCTAATATATCTATTTCATACAAAAGATGGAGCTATTTATAGTAAAATATATGTGCGAGCCAAGAGAGCTAGCATAAGCGAGTATTAGACAAGTATTGTAGTAAGCTGATGATGATGAGAAATATTGTAGTAATACGATGTTGGTGGCGTTCAGTAATACGATGTTGGTGGCGTTCAGTAGTGTATAACCTCTTTTTCCTGACATCATATAACTGCAGCTGATAGTATCTTGTGAAATGAGTTGACTACAATCAATCAACCTGAACTTCAAGTTTAATGTTATCTGAAACAGTAGTCCTTGACTGATGGGAACTGCTTCTGAAAAGAGGGGACTAATGTGACAGGCTGTGCCTGATCAATCATATAGACTATTTCATTACACTTCACAGATTTCATGTACACTCTGATTCTCAGCCATTCTCAATCACTGATCCTCAGCCGCTATGAACATGTACACTCTGATTCTCAGTCATTCTCAATCACTGATTCTTGACTGCTATGAATGTGTGTATATTCTTCCACTCTGAAGCTTTATCACATATGTGTATAAATATTCATCTTAATCACTGATTCTTGTACTTTCTCTTTTCTTTCTTCTTTAATGTTTTTATCTTTGTTATATAAGACCTATCAATATTATACTGATCTATTCGGCGTAGGCCCCTTACAGTATATTTTCTAATTATTTATATTTATACAGATATTGTAGCGTACGCCGCTACGTAGAGTCAGATATAAGGGTAAAAACTTGTCTTATTCTCTTAAAGATGGGAGATGGGCGTACACTCTTATATATACAGTGATTGTTCTATAGAGATTAGCTCTTGTAGAAGAAGTGATCACCTATGAAGAGAAGAACAGAGACTCTGTAGAGAAGAAGTGAATGCTCTCATAGAAGAAGTGATTGCATATGAAGAAAAGAATGAAGGCTCTGTAGAGAAGAAGTGAAAGCTCTTATAGAAGAAGTGATCACATATGAAGAGAAGAACAGAGAGAGAAGATAGAAGTGAAAGCTTCAGAAAACAGTAAGAAATGAAGTGAAAGCTAGAGCTGAATAGAGAATTGACTTGAATAGAGAGTAAAAGCACACCACAGTTCCTCTATCTGAAAGGATGTGTTTATGAAGAAGAAAAAAATAACATTGAAAAAAGATGATGAGTATCACGGGCGCTAGGCTCAAAGAGGCAGATATTATTCAGAAGTGCTAGTTCATTTACATATACTGCAGATATTATAGAAAAGAAGAGACTGAGTGATAGAATTACTTATTCATACAAAGAGTGATCAGATGTAAGAATTATTTATCTCTACAAAGAGTGAAAGATGTAAGAATAACTTGAAAAGAAATGATAAGAAAGAGACAGAAGTTCTTTAATCTAAAAACAGCTGTAAGAAAAGAAAGAAATTGTAAAGAAATCACAAGAAGCTTGAATGAGAAAGAATTCTTTGATAAGATAGATAAGAGTGAAAGTTTCATTATAATGAGAGAAAGATTCTGTGAGTGATAGAGATTAGTGTAGATGAATAATTGTATCAATATATATATTATAATCACTTTCTTCTTATTCTTCTCTTATTTCTCACACATCTTGCTAAAATTTAACATAGCAGAATTAGTGAAAATTGTGATATATAGAAGATTAGATCATGGAAATAATGAGTCTTAAGAAGAAGTCAACAGCTGTGAAGACAGGTATAGTAAGTATGATGAAAAAGGTCTTGATCTTAGAGAAATTATTTCAGTTATTAAGTCAGAAGAAGTGTGATGCTCTTCTTCATATGAGTGATAGAGAAGAGAAGATGAGTGAGAAGACTGATGAAGAGAGAACAGGTGAGAATGAGATGAAAGAAAATAATGAAGATGAAGAGTTAGAATTCTGAACAGATAAGCTTTCAACACTATCAACTTATCTTTTCACATATGAAGTGATCAAAGATCAAGATAAAGAAAAGACAGTGATATCTCATTATTGCTCAGCTAGGCTGTATGATGCTGCTGCAGAAGAGTTAACAGATGAATTGTATAATAGAAGCTCAAAGAGTCAAGAAGAATCTAAGACTGTGATGTGAAAGCTTATAATATTATTTATTCATTTGAAAAAGTCATAGCTGTTCACACACTGGTTTTCAGAAGAAGATATTAAGATGAATGAGAGAGAAGAGAGTCAGAAGACTGCTGCAGAAGTGGCTGATGATGAAGAGCTGTAAGTAGAACTGAAAGTAGAAGCTGAATGAGCAGATACAGATACTGAAGAACTATCACTGATGAAAGAGAATAAGAAGTGCTGAAGAGCTAGTCAGAAGTAATATGAGACTCTGAGTAACAATGTTTTGAGAAAGTCAGAATGAAAGAAGAACATTGAGAATGATCAGATATCTTAACTGTATGACACAGTATATATGAGACATCTGCATTATAATGACAAGATCAACTTGCACTTTCAGCAGAATGATAAGCTCACTCACTCAAGTATGTTAATCATGCAGAACTCAACTGTGAAGAGGCTTGCAGATACTGTCTTAATCATTGAAAGACTTACAGAACATAGTGAGAAGATGTCATTTATTAATTATGAATTTTTCATTTTACTCAGTCAGTAATTGATTAAAGATTTGAGATAGTTATCTGTTAAGTGAAAGTTGCACTGATAAATGAATAATGATAAGCTAATCACTTCACAGATTATTAATTCTAAGGATTTCACTAATCAGAATATTGTTATTCTGCAGACCTGTGAAGAAATAGCTCCTGTGTCATATCAGTGTTATGTGAAGAGCCAGAGGTGATTCAAGAAATGTGTGATCACCTCTGCAGATGACAAACAGACATGATAAGAACATGATACTTACACTAACTGTCAGTGAGAAAATAAGAGATCTCACTGCTCTTTAAATTGCTGTAGCTGATATGAACTCAGATGAAATGTGAATAACTTGCTATTTAAAGAGAGTATGTCTGAATTTGAAAAGACTGCAGCTGAGAAGACAGATGTTGATAACATTGTTAAGATCAGTAATACAGAGAAGAAGGACAATTTAACTATAGTTTCAATGAAGAGAATATCTACATTTTTCAAGCATAAGATGTTGAGTCTGATTGCACTGAAACTCTCAAAACATGTTTAAATCAGTGAGTAAAGTATCTCAACATCTGTGAAGATAGATAGTGAGATGAAGATAAGCTGTTTGACCTCTGCTAAGATGATTAACAAGATTAAGATAAGTAGTGTGTGACAGTCATTGATTCTGTCTTCTGAAGACTGTATAATCAATTGTAGAGCTCAAGATCTGAAGATGCTGAGGTAGCTGTCTAATCTTGACAAGTATAATCTGAACACTGTTCAGGCTGTGCAGAAGAAACTGAATAAGATAGCTAAGTTTATCAATATGATTTCAGCTGTAGAGAATATCATGACTAATAATCATTTCTTTAAGTTGCTCAGCAGGGTGTGTTTCAGTGATCTTATAAATGAGAGATTATCAGTGAATATTGCATTTTGAGATGCATATCTCACTGAGCAGGAGATCAAGCTGCAGGAAGAGCTTGAAGATGATTGATAAGAAGAGATGAAGTGAAATGATGAAAAGAGTGAAAGATGATGATTTTCTTATTTTCTTTATTTTCTCATTTAATAGCTAAAATTAGATTGTAATACATTTTCTTTCTTTCTTTCACTCTGTCTCTATTTTACTTTTCTTTCTATTATTTACTCAGCTGACTGCGAGGCTTCTTAGTCATGAAGATCTTGACCAGGTGCAGAGTGTCTTGTATGATGACTTCAAGAGACTCTCAGATCAGGTCTTCATATCTCTTTCACTTAATCTGAAGATAAGTCTTATCATTCTCTGTGTACTTTCTTATGATGTTTTCAACTTCAAATTATAACTAATCATCAATAAGTACTGATTCTGATAATAAGTGCTTCATATCTGCTTCTGTTAACACAGTCTTTTTCAGATAAATGATGAAGATTACTGAGTACATTTATCAATCAGCTGGCAGTTTCAATTGAAATACAGCATCTGATACTTTCTGAAGAATGTGAAATGAGCCTACTTATAAGAGTAATAGCTTGAATGTCCCTTTTAATGTATAGCTCTTTTGAGCTTTTTAAGTGAGGTTCAAGAAGACTCAATCATCAATCTGAATAGTTGATTGAGAATGAAATCAGTTAAAGAACTCAGTCATTCTAGCTTTTGTCAGAATATATGAGTCAAGAATGTCTTACTGCACTGCATCTCACACAGTGATGAACTCAGCTACATCTAGCAGAGCTTTCTCATTATTCAATGACAGTTATCTAGGCTTTACACTCATGAGTAATTCAAAGAGAGAGATCATTGCTGGCTGTACAGCTACTGAGTTTAATACTCTTTTCACTTATTCAAGCAGAGCAGTTCAATTTACTTCATATTCATCTATAAAAAGTATTTACAATGTGACTTCAATCATGAGATTAATTCACTCACTTTAATCATTTGAGTGAGAATTGTAGACAGTTGTCATCCATGTCTTAATTCTCATGAGTTGAAGAACTGACTTTTAAAATTGTAATGTAAATTTGAGATC